TAATCATTTTTTTGTCAAACATATATATATATATAACAAAAGATTGTCTATGAACTCATAATTCCGATGTGGTTCTGATGTGGTCTATCAACCACTTGCCATAAATTTTCTTATCATATTATTAGTGTCATTTAAAATTTTGTACCTTATTTTAATTAAGTAATCTTAGTTACTTACTAAAGTAATAAATATGAATCTGGTCAAATAATAAGAATCAAGTCATAAAGTCTATATTTGCCGAATATTGGTAGAGTGATAAACATGAATCCGGTCAAATAATAGAAAATTAAAGTATAATAATTATTATTTGACTAATAGTTATAAATATGAATCTAGTTAAACAATCAAAAATAATTATTTGGCTAATAGTTATAAATATGAATCTGCTTAAATAATAAGCAATTAAATCACAAAAAATAATTATTTGACGAATAGTTTTATGGTGTTTTAGGATACACTTCTGTTCACATAAATAAAATAAATCGAAATATCATGATTTGAAGAAAAAAAATAATAAAATGTGTGATTCATCATGTGCAAATATTACTCAAAAGAACTAAGAATTGTGTCAATAGTTTTTGTTAGTGTGCTCTAAAAAAGGATTAAAGACGAAAAAGCTCGATTATTTTTTATTGATTATTTATATATCAGTGCATTGTATTACAAAAAAAAATGCATAATATTATTCAATAGTCGAAAACACTACATAATACATATATAATATATAATTGTATTGAAATAAAAAAAAACATGAAAAACAATGTTAATCTAGAAAAGATAGCAAAAAAACACTACATGATTTTCTTGAGGGTTACTTAAAAGCCAATTTAGTGCAAATCAAAAGGACTGAACCGATTAGATGTTACTCAATCATACTATAACTTAACAGTCAAAAAGCTATACGTCGAACTTTAGCCTTTCGAATTAGTCACATAGATATTTTCCATTAACAACAACCTAAGCATATTTAAATATTCAATCTGTGGTGTATATGATAATTATTATTCAATAAGCTAATCTTTAAAGTTCACTGTCATATATACAATTTAGTTTCTAGGTCATTAACATTGGATACACAAATTGGGCAACTATTATTTTTTTTCTAGCCAAATTTTTATGAAATTAACATGAAACATATGTGAACATGACATCTTTGCAATTATCAAATCACCAATAACATCCCTTTGGCAAATCAAGCAATTCTCATTGATATATTCATCAAATAACATAATATTAATTGTTGCTTGAAGTATTAATAGACCATCAATTATCATCATGAAATACATTGATTTAGAATAATTTTGTACCAACTGATAAATTCATATAGTGAAAGTTGTTCTAATTAAAATCAGAAGCATGTCCATCATCAATAAAAAAAATTATTTTTTTGTAATAATAGAAATTAGTCATGCATGTTCATAGATATAGACATGTTGGATTCATCATTTTTAGCTTGTACTCTTGAACTTCAACTTGTTTGTGTAAATTTCAGAGTGAACCCAGGAGTTTCTCCGAACACTTCAGGCTTTTTAGATTAGTTTTTTTTTACACAATAATATTATGTGTATATATATATATATTTATTTCTATTAATAAGTTACTTAATGAGCATTACACCTTCTAACCTTTTAATAATATATATAACACCTAACCTTTAATTTAATAATATAACTCCTAACCTTTCATATTCATAACCTTCAAAATATTTAATTTAAAAATTAGAACTCCTAAATATTACACCTATAAAAATCCACTTTGAGACATTGCATGATGGTCATTTTATTTTTATTTTCCTTATTCTTCATTTTTTGTTTGTTTGATTTGTTAATTTCTTTTGTCTTCTTTGATCTGATTTTTGCAAGAGAGGGGTGTATAATGAAAAATGTTATATATTTTGCATATTTTGATTTTGTGAGGTAAAATGATTTGACATGTCTAATTATCATTTTGACTTTTGTTCTATTGCAATTACATATATATTTGATATTATTAGGTTGGATTGTTGATCATACAAATCATGATTCTTTTATAGAAAAAATAATTTGTTCATTTTCTTTTTTGCTTCTCTTTGTAGTTTTTTGAGATTTTTTTTCTTTTTCTTGTAGTTTCTACCGACACT